CGAAGTATTCCGCCCAACGGCCCACAACGTCCCGACTTGAGGGGACGGGGTCAGCAGCACACCGCCCCCACTATAAACAGTGTTGGTGCTGCACTGCTTCTCCCTCCTGAGACGTCGGATGGTGGACCAGAATCGCCTCGAAGCCGTACGGAAGTCTTTCTCCATGGCCTCTCCAAACTCCTCCCATGCCCGAGTTTTTGCCTCAGCGACCACCCGAGCCGCATGCCGCTTCGCCCGCCGGTACCCATCAGCTGCTTCTGGAGTCCCACAGGCCAAAAAGGCCCGATAGGACTCCTTCTTCAGCCTGATAGCATCCCTCACCGAAGGTGTCCACCAACGGGTTCGAGGGTTGCCGCCGCGACAGGCACCAGCAACCTTGCGGCCGCAGCTCCGATAAGCCGCCTCGGCAATGGAGGCACGGAACATGGTCCATTCAGACCCCGGAACGTGTTCGAAGTTCTGCCGGAGATGGGAGTTGAAGCTCCATCTCACAGGGGACTCCGCCAGACATTCCCAGCAGACCCTCACTACACGTTTGGGCCTGCCAGGTCTGACCGGCTTCCTCCCACCACCGGAGCCAACTCACCACCAGGTAGTGATCAGTGGACAGCTCCGCACATCTCTTCACCCGAGTGTCCAAGACATATGGCCGCAGATCCGATGAAACGATCGCAAAATCGATCATCGAACTGCGGCCTAGAGGGTCCTGGTGCCAAGTGCACATATGGACACCCTTATGCCTGAACAAGGTGTTTGTGATGGACAATCCTTGACGAGCACAGAAGTCCAACAGCAGAACACCACTCGAGTTCAGATCGGGGGGGCCGTTCCTCCCAACCACGCCCCTCCAGGTCTCACTGTCATTGCCCACGTGAGCGTTGAAGTCCCCCATCAGAGCAAGGGAGTCCCCAGGAGGGGCACTCTCCAGTGCCCCCTCTAAGAACTCCAAGAAGGGTGGGTAATCTGAACTGTTGTTCGACCTGTAAGCACAAACAGTCAGAACCCGTCCCCCCACCCGTAGGCGGAGGGAGGCTACCCTCTCGTTCACCGGGGTAAACCCCAACGTACAGGTGCCAAGATGGGGGGCAACAAGTATGCCCACTCCTGCATGGCGCCTCTCACCGCAGGCAACTCCAGAGTGGAAGTACGTCCAGTCCCTCTCAAGGAGACTGGTTCCAGAACCAGAGCCATGCGTCGAGGTGAGGCCGACTATTTCTAGCCGGACCCTCTCAGCCTCGCATACTAGCTCCGGTTCCTTCCCCACCAGAGAGGTGACATTCCACGTCCCAAGAGCCAGCTTCTGAAGCCGGGGATCAGACCGCCAGGGTCCCCTCCTTAGCCACAGCCCATTACACACTGCACCTGACCCCTTTGGCCCCTCCTACAGGTGGTGAGCCCGTTGGAAGGGGGACCCACGTCTCCTCTTCAGGCTGAGCCCGGCCGGGCTCCGTGGGTGAAAGCCCGGCCACCAGGCACTTGCCTGGTGGCCGGGCTTTTACCACAAAAGTCGTCTCCATCTAACGGGTGAATTGAGTTTCCTAAACCTGCTGGGTATCACCCTGTCCAGAACTGAGGGAAACTGCTGGCCTGTGGAGAAAGACTCACCTGGTTACTGATGACCTCCATCCAGGTGTCCCACCCTTCTTCGCCCTGTGAGTTAGTCAGACTGAGCCGCCTGCAGCCAACTAGTTTCACAGACCACATATGTTAACGGTCGCTCTTTGAAACCAGTCAAACCAGCAGGTCCACAGATTTGGATGAATTTGTGAGGAAGATGCCAACAGCAAGACACAATCACAGTGGAAAGAGGGGAGGAAGTTCAAACTGCCATTAGAAACGACTAGAAAACTTTCAGCATTTCTCTGTAATCAAGTTTCTTTATTGAAGACGTCCAAAGAGACGAACAACAGACATTTATTTCTGATCTAAATCTAAAATATGAGAAGAAAACAGCAACAGTTCTGATTTGATGTTTCAGGTTTTCTGGATCACAACATAGAAAACAGAATCAAGTTCAGATCACTTTGATCTAAACTGATTTAACAACAAATAAAACATGGAAANTTCATTTCCTCCAGAGTGTAAAAATCACCACTAGATGTTTGTGATTCTGCGATTGAAACGCCGTCTGAGTCGCTGTCATTCTCCATGTCCTCTACTTGTGCAGGTGAGGCTGCAGACTGAACCTCTGCAGCGCCACCTTCAGGTAACGCTGCAGCCTCGGCAGCAACACAACCAGCCGTCTGATCCGTTTCTATATCCAGATTGCTCCCATCTGAGGAGTCCTTGGGAACATCGGTTCCAGTTTTCTCAGTCTCCTCCCGTGCAGCGTGTTTATTCAGACCACTGCTTCCCTCCCAGCATCAGAGCCAACCGACGGAGGAAACGCCCCGCCCTCAGCAGGCGGAGGAGCTCCAACCACCGGCGACTCCTCTGCACTTCCGCTCACCTCAACCTGAGCTTCCTGATTTTTGTGCGGGCAAGAAGCCCGTTTATGTCCAACATCCCCACATTCAAAGCATTTCATACTCCCAGTACTCGCANAAACCANGTAANATCCTTCTGCATATTTCACTCTGAAAGAAACTTCTAGCGTCGCTGTAGCAGAGTTTAAAAACATAAAAACCTGCCTCCTGAAAGACTGAACGTGTTTCAGCTTGTCATGTTTACATCCCGAACCAACAGTTTCAAAACCACTCGCAAGTTTCCCAAAGTGCTGGAGCTTTTTCTCCAACGAAACATTGAACGGCGGCACACCTGAGATAATAACCCGGATGGAGGCACCGCAAGCAGCGACACCTGCAGGTCTCCGCCTACCGTCACACCATGACAATCAGCTGGTTCACAAAACGCTCCTTTTTTAAAAATATCACTATTCCCTTATTCATTCTGGAAGCATAAATTAAATGTCTGTGACAAACTAGATCAGCAACTGTCAACAGAACCGTTTCAACTGGGATCGTCGGATCAGGTTGGACCCGAATCCCATTCCTCAAAGAGAGGGGCGGCGGCTCTGGAGACGCCATCCCCGCAAAGAAACAGCACTACAAGCGCTGAAACTCAAAACAAGAACCCAAGACTTAGAACCAAAGCAAGGAAAGAATATTAGAAAACAAATGCATGAAAGAAAAGGATTGAAAAGAAGTTTGAGACACTTTCACTCCCTCAGACTCACCACCTGCAGACTCGCCATGACCACTCCCAGAGAGAGAGAGAGAGAGAGAGAGAGACAGAGAGAGAGAGACAGAGAGAGAGACAGAGAGACAGAGAGAGAGAGAGACAGAGAGACAGAGAGAGAGAGAGAC